GCTCTGATACCATTTGTTGGGTTATAAAGATGATTAGGGCGTCATGCGGAAGCTTATAATTGCAAATCATATGGTTGACAAATAAGACGATAAGTAAAAACATACTAAACATATATTATTAATATGGTTTGGTCAAACGAGCTACATATTGAAAACTAATATTTAAAAACATAAATATGTTTAGGAGAAAATCTCCCCATAAACACGACTCTCTAAATGAATACATTGTGGATGCTATTTTGTTGTTGATGTGATAACATAGATCTATTTATAGTTTGACTCAAAAATATCCTTATCATTAATGTTTTGGTTTAAAAATATTTTTGCAGTCAATACTTTAATTCAAAAATGCCCCTTTAATTACAAAATGGGTCAAAATGCCCTTTTTCTTAATAAATATGTTGTTTTTCTTTTTAAACACATCTTCTTCCTAATTTAAACATTATTAAGGAACAGTATTCTTGTTTTCTTCTTCTAAAATCACTTTAACAAATAAAAATGTAGGAAATCTTTTTTCTTCTTAATCTGATTTTATCAATTAAAATAAAACAATTCCATGTAACATTTCGATAGATAATTTACGTCATATATATAAGATCATAGTATATCTATCATTAATTTTTAATTATATAACGATTAAAAATATTGAGATAAAATAAAAAAAATATTTTCAGTTGTTTTTGAATTAAAGTAAGATAATTATTTGCTAATTTTTTTAAAAAAATATTAATTGAAAAAAATGTGTCAAAAAGAAAAGAATAATATATTTATATGGAAAATGAGCTTTTTGAGCCATTAAATAACAATAACGGCTTTTTTGGACCAAATTACAAATGGGGGGAGGGGGGGGGGTATTTTTGTTGCTTTCGCTTAGTTTAAGGACATTTTTGAACCAAAATATTAACTGTAAAGGCATTTTTAAGCCAAACTATAAACAAAGGGCATTTTTATACGTTTCACATAGTTTAAGGTCATTTTTGACTCTCTTCCCTATAATAAATACTAAATGACTAATAAGAGAAAAAAAATCAATTAATAAATAACTAGTTTATTTATTAAAATTAAAAGAAAACATATATGTTTTGTAGTTTTCAAATCTTTTAAAATAAACTTACTAAAATACGATGAAAAATAAAATATTTAATGTAAACTTTAAAGAAATATTTAAGGAATAAAAATGGTGCAAAACTTAAGTGCTAAGTGGCTTGTATGACGCCTCTTGGGGTCCTATACGCCATACGCCTAAGGATACTTGGGTCATGTCAAACAATCAATTAATGGTAGTTTTTTCAGAAAGTGACTCAAATTTATTTTAGAACTTAAAAATTACTTAATTACTGACATTTTATCTTAAAAGTCACTCAATCGGCTCAAATATTGATAAATTAGTAACATTTTTTCAATTCAACAATTTATTTATTGATGAAAATTGTGGATGCAAGAAATCACAGGAGGTATTTTGTATGAGAGAAGACAGACATTAACTTCAGAATAAATTGTGAGATTATTTTATCCTACTTTTGATTAGAATAATTAGCTTAACCCTAAGTTATTCATCGCGTGTAGGGGTGGCAAAATCAAATCCAAACTGTTCAATCTTCTCATCATGTTCATGTTTGGGTTGGTTATTGGCCCCTTCATTTATTAGTTTAATCAATTTCAACCGAATTTATTTAAATCCATTAAAATTGTGTTGATATGTAACCCAAATTAATTCATAAAAAATCTTGTCGAAATATTTTTAAAGAACTTATTTTTCAATTTATGTATTGTATATAACCATAATAAAGAAAAGAATAGTTTAAAAGAACAAATAAAATAATTAAATTTAGTAAAATTTGGATTAACTCCTTGATAAACTGTAAATACCATGAACAAACAAAAGGACCATTACATCTATAGAGCACTTAATTTATAGCCACCTTCTAGGAAGAATTCTAACTTCTATGTCTTTAAGGGCCCGTTTGGATGGGCTTGATAAAAGTAGCTTTAAAAAAGTATTTTTGAAAGTGTTGAAACTTATTTTTAAAATAAACAGTTATGCGTTTGGATAAAAGTGCTGAAGTTAAAAAAAAAGTTGTTGATGTGTTTGGCAAATAAGTGCTAATAAACAGCTTTTTCAATCAAAATGTCTGAAATACCCTTAAAAGTTGTTAACATAATAAAAGTTAATTAATTTATATTTTACAGCCATAAATAATTATATTTTGCTATCATTCACATATTTCTTTCTCATCACAAATTATTTATAAGAGGAATATATAACTTATTATAGATTTTAAAGATATATAATTTGAATAGATTAAAAAACGATTTAAGATTTTATTTTAGTTTCATACATAGGTAATAATAATTATCTATCATTCACATATTTCTTTATTATCACAAATTATTTATAAAAAGAAATATAAATTTTTATTTAAGTTATATGTGCAACTTATTTTACATTTTATTAGTATATAATTTGAATAGATCACCTGAAAGATTTAAGATTTATTTTATTTTCATTCATTAATAATAGTAATTGTCTATCATCCACACGTGAAAATGGAAAAATAGAAGAAAGAGATATTAGGGTTATGTGGGTAATTTGGAGATTGTATAAAAATATTAAGGGCAAAAAGGTAAAAATGTGGTCAACTTAAAACAGCTTATAAGCTGGGGAAAAAAGCACCCCTACCCCAGCTTTTAACTTTTAGCTTATAATAAGTTTTTTTCTTAACTTAAAATAAGTTATTTTGAGTATTGCCAAACAACTAAATAAATCAAAAACAAGCTTTTAAGTCAGTTTGACCAGCTTTTAAGCTAAGCCAAACAGACTCTAAACCTCCAACTCAACAAGAAACTAGTTATAAAAAAAAATGTTGAATCAACGTATTACTTTTATGAGCCTTCTTAGATCCTCTGAACAATGCCGTTCTCTCCATAAATTTTATTTTTATTTGTGCGATTACTATCTCACTTTTTACAATTGTACCTCTATACAACTTCCAGTTTCTTGCCCTCCAAATGTGATAAATTATGACACTCTAAATTGTTGCAACCCATTTTAACCCAAGCAAATAAGAGTAAATTTGAATCTTAATCCGCTTATTATGTTAATTCATTATTGACCCACTTCAAATTTGATCCAATTGACACCCCTAAGTTATCTATCTCATTTCGATACCAAACGAGTCACGAAGGTGAGATCACGCGCTTGAAAGTGTGAGAGTGGGGAAAGTGTTAATAAATAGGAGGTACATAGTGAGAGTCATTGGTCGATGAAAAGAGGAAAAAAGGTGGGTCCTACTCCCGTACTCTTGGATTGGACTATTCTGGAAAGTATTTCCTTTTATTGCTATTATTCCAATTTCCTTTTTAGAATATCAAACCCCACTACCAATAATTATTTTCTCTCTCCATTTCTAATTTACCTTTATTATTTACCCAAATGGTAAAAACAACACAAAAAACAATTCTACTGCAACTTCCTAAAATAAATCCAGCAGTCAACCAGAAAATCTAATAAGTTTTTCGTCTCAAAATATTTGTTGTGTTTTTTATTTACATTTCTTTAATCATGAAGCATGTTTAACTATACTTCTTAAATGACGATAGATAGTTGAAAGTTGATATTCTTTTTTATAAGGATAATAATTATTTTGAGAGTATCCAATGTAATTTTTTTTGTGTTTGAATTTGATGATATTACAATATTAGAATAATTTTAAATTAAAAAGGAAGATTTACTCAATAATTCAAAAAAAAATCGAACAACTGTCTACTCATAGCATGTTGGAGCTAATAAGAAGATCAAATAGCGACAACTAATTAAAGAACGAATGAATAAAACACGTAACATATAGTAAAATTAATTAAACATGAATAATATAAAGACAAAATTTAACATTTTTTCTTAAACAAGAAATGATAATTACAATAGCTAATAAAATTAATTAGGTAATAAGTCATGTATCAAAGTCTTGGTGCTTTCAATTTTCCATAAAAAGGAAGTGCAAAAAAATGTAAAAAGGAAATAAAAGGAGATGCTTTTCGATTTGGTTAACGTCGTAAAGTTGCGTAAGAAAGAGATGCTTCTTTCTTTCTTTTTCTTTCTTTTTTTGTTATATATTTCAATTATATATAATTTTTTAACTTTTAGATTCATTGGCCTACAAGAAAAATATAAAAAAAAATTGTATAAAGAGTTTTCCTTTCATCAAAGAGTATAAAGACAAATCCTTTTCAATGTACCAAAAAAGAAAGATGAATTTAGAGTTATAAATACTAATTAGTACATTAGTATATGTAGAGAAATAGAAAATTGGGTTTAAGAAACAAGAGGAGAAGTATATAAGAATGACTAATTAAGTGAGTTGAAGAATCGAATGTCCATTTCTAAAAAAATAATTATATAGTTTGTTAAATAATTTTAATTAAAATTTTGTATCTTATCTTTTATCCATGTATTTTTTATTTATTTTCCATGGCTTATTTTTTTAATTTATTTTTAAAAAAATATAAATATAAATTTTAATTTTAATTTCTACATCTTATATAACATATTTAAAATTATATGATTCAAAAAAGATATTGATATATTATACAAATATTTTTTTATTTTTTAAAAAGAAATCTATCCAGTTAAAATAAGACATAAAATAAAACATGAATAATACTTGTCAGTCATAACACAAGACAAAAATATTTTCCTTTTAAAAAAAACCATACCATATCCTTTAAGTGCACGTAAAATAAATCACATTTTAGTATAACATCCTACAAATTACCCACATTCAATTCAATGAACTTAACTGAAAAACATCAAGGAAATTCCGAATGTAAAATCCTTTTATAACTCTACGATTTAGATCCGAAACTCAACCAACTTGATCAGATACAATGTTAGAAAAAGAACAAATAAAGTTGAGTCGGATAATAGGGATCTAGAAACTATGGGGTGGGGTGGGGGTGGGCGTGGGGGTGTATTTAACGTTGGTATAAGCTGCTTTAGGCTTATTCTTCCGAAACTAGCCTCGTCTATATCCATCATCTCTCTCTTAATTTTTATTTTTTTTCTTTCCCCAACAACTTCAACTTCTCTATAAGTCATAACTTCCATCTTTCTTTCAATTTACAACAAAAAAATAAATAAATCATTCTTTTCTTCATTTCATACATCAATATAGGTCACTTGCAACCAAATATCGAAAAATACACTCATTTTAATTCTATCGACAAAAGAAATGTGGAATTTAAATGATTCCCCTGATCAGACAATGGAGTATGAATCCGATGAAGGTATAACGGTTAGATCGGAATCAAATTCAATTTCATCCGCTCTACTTGTTGTAGAAGACGGTAATTCATCAGAAGAAGACGGTGAAAAAGGTAAAAAAAAGAAAAGTAATAATACACCAGGTAAAATATTCGGATTTTCGATTAAAGACCACAATTTGGAATCGCCGGTAGTTACCCGGCAATTTTTTCCGGTAGATAACGAGTCTACCAATTTTCCAAGGGCACAATGGGCTGGAATTAAATTTTGTGAATCGGAACCGCCACTTGTCAATGGATTAGTGGGGAACAAAATTGACGTGTTGCAACAACAGCCAATTAAAAAAAGCCGTCGTGGACCACGTTCAAGAAGTTCACAGTACCGTGGTGTTACCTTTTACCGGAGGACTGGCCGGTGGGAATCTCATATATGGTTCGTGTTACTTTTCAATTGATATAATTCAACTTTTTTTTTTTGAAAATGTTGTTTAATTGAAATTAATATTTTTTGTTTTTAATTTGATTTTAGGGATTGTGGGAAACAAGTGTATTTAGGTACGTTTTATTTATATCATTTTAAAAATTATTTATTGTTACGGCTAACCTTGAAGATAATTAAGTTGAATATCATATGGTGTAGGTGGATTTGATACAGCACATGCAGCAGCTCGGTGAGCTCTTTAATTCTTTACTTGTACCTTTTTAATTTTCGATTATTTGAAATAATAAAAGTTATATTGATTTTTTTGAAAAAAATATTTTGATTTTTATTTTGTGGTACATTTCTTAAAAGATATTGCGGAGAGACTCAAGGTTTTGGAATGTGTGATACAGTGCATATGATAGGGCAGCAATCAAATTCCGGGGAGCGGAGGCGGACATAAACTTTACCTCGAAAGATTATGAAGATGACTTAAAACAGGTAAGTCATGTATTTAAAATTTAAATTTTTTAAAGATATTATTAATATTGATAAAAGAAAAATCATAACCTCCCATAATTATAATTTTACAAATGATCACTTAATTATTATTATTATTATTTCAAATTCATTTTTCTTCTTGATTTTAAATTTTTTCGACAAATAAAGAAAATAACTTTTTGAGACAAGACGTTAAAAAAGGCATCTAGATTTGTTTTTGTTGTGTGTATCTGATTGGAGTACTTCACTTTCACTATTTGGCTTTTCATAAACAGTTGTTTTTGTTTCACATTTTTTGGTGTCAATATTTAGTTGGAAGCATATGTATTGACATTTTATTTATTGTTAGTGCATAATTTGTTTTATTTATTTATTTGGTGTATCAGATGAGCAATTTAACCAAAGAAGAATTTGTGCATGTACTAAGGAGACAAAGTACTGGTTTTCCAAGAGGAAGTTCCAAGTATAGAGGAGTCACTTTGCATAAATGTGGTAGATGGGAAGCTAGAATGGGACAATTCTTAGGCAAAAAGTAAATAATTATTCTCATTTTATTCTCAACTATTATTGAATAAATTGTTTCATAATTTTTTAAAATTTTTATTCGGAACAGGTATGTTTATTTAGGCCTATTTGATACTGAAGTTGAAGCTGCCAGGTGTGTTATTTGCCGTGTGAATTTATTCTTTATAGTTTCTATACTTTAATTAGTTACATTGATACGAAAGAGTTACTCAAATGATAAACACTTCACAATTTCAATTCAAAAGATGGGAGCTTCCGAGAGGGGTAAAGGAAAAAAATATTTTAGTTGCCTTTTTTGCACTAAAACTACTCCCTTTTGTCCCAAATTATTTGGCATGTTTGCTTTTACAAAAGTTCATTTGTTCATTTTCGAAGTTAAATTTATTTGGCATGTTTGCTTTTACAAAAGTTTATTTGGTTCATTTACAAAGTTAAATTGAATTAGAATAACTCATTATTTTTGTGGTATTTAAAATTAAGTATTCAAAAATTGTATGATAAATAATATTTACTATTTATAACATAAGTTGCAACTTTCTCATGTTAATTTGATGAATATATATGTTTGTATAAATATTTGTTGAAGGTGAGGGTTTTGAAAAGTGAAACAATATAACATAAGTAATTTACTGGAGAAGGTGAAGGCTTTAAATATTTTTAACACACTTTTATCTTTCTTCTTTTAACAGAGCTTATGATAAAGCTGCTATCAAGTGTAATGGAAAAGATGCAGTTACCAACTTTGATCGTAGCATTTATGAAAATGAACTTAACTCAACCGGTAAAATTACATTATTCTTTAATTTATTTGTTTTTTATCTGGTCGAGGTTTATAACCTAATATCAATATATATAAATTAAATTTACGTAACATTGGTAAGTGTGCATTTTTAATCCCTTCAGAATGTACTGATAATGCAACGGACCACAATCTTGACTTAAGCTTAGGAGGTTCAAGCCAAGAAATGGGGGACAATAGGGGTCAAAATTCTTCATCTAATTTGCAATTGGATGGCCATTGGGGCCACCAAGGGTCATCAAGGCATAATAATAAGGTACATAAAATTATCTATGGCAATTTTCGAAAATTCTTGTTTTGAATTATTTATTATTTTAAAAATTTATATATGATGTAACTTTTTTATTTATCCTTGATAATAACGTTTTTGAAACTACAAATACTTCAATAAATGTGTTTAATAAAAAAAAATTTTATTATCTTAAAAAATGGTAAAATATTTAATAAAATATCTCTCCTAATTTATGTTTTTATAGAAGAGCATGTAAAAGAAAAATACGATAAATAATTTGAGACAAAAGGAGTACATAATATTGCTTACCTTACTTCCTTGCACCTATCTAAAAAACGTTAGTTTAGATGATTGGTAACTTCTTTATTTTTGTCATTTCAAACTTAATTTGCATCTTGTCTAATGTTTATACATGATTTTTTTCTTCTCTTTAAAATATAGTATATATTGAAATCGAGTATTTTTATGTTTTAAATTTCATTTAGCCACGTAGCCAAATCAATTTTGATGGCCAAAAAAGAAGTGGATATAATGAAAGTGAAATATTACAACTTTTGAACCAAACGCACCTTAATTCGTCAGATAGAGTGCCACCAAAAATTAATGAAATGCAAAGGTTTGGCCAATTTATTAGAGATGGTGAAACACACGTGGTTCAAGCCTATCCCCGGCAATTTAATTCATATCAAGTGATTTTTCATTTTCTTATAATAATGTTGTTTAAATATTTTTTTGTTGCTTTACAAATTGGTGGTATAAAACATATAATATAACATAAGATAAATAAAATTTTAAAGAGAACATATATTGTTATAATAACATATGTATTATAAAAAGAACGGTGTATTCGGATTTTATGCATCCCATGTTTTTTTCTTGTTTAACTCGTCCATATTATTGTAAAAATACAATTTTTGTTCATTTTACAAAAAAAAAAGTCATTTTAACTAATAAAAATAAGTGTTATTTTAAGAAACCAATTAGTAGATGTGTGGACATTAAGAAAAATATTACTTGAGGATAAGTAAAAATTTTAAAATAGTTGAAAAAAGATATTTAGAAATTTTTATTAAGAAGAAAAAAAGATCTCTTGAGTATTGAATTGAGAAAAAAATTCTCTTGAAAATTTTGGAAAATCACTTTTTAAATTTTGATATCATCCTAAAAACTTTTTTTAAATAATCAACTCAATGAATAACCAAGGCAGGCCCTAAATGTAATTAATTAATTTGTTAAGATTTATCCTTACAATATTAAATTTCTCCACAATTGGTACTCATTTTGATAAGGAATAAAAGGATTATTGACCCTAATATTACTTAGTACTATTAAATAATATTTCTTTTATGAATGTATGAAAACCTTAAACCATATTTAAAACTGATTTGATATAAATTATTGTACACCAACTAAAGAGAATGTGAAAAAATATTTTGATTTGAATTCGATATAATATCATATTGAATTTTGCAATTGAATTTAATTACTTAATTATATTATGTATCAACGAACAGGTTCAGACTCCGAGCAGCAACAATGTAGGCCAAATTGGTGGAACAAGTAATTTTCAAAATAATTATGAGATAATTGCAACTGCTGCAGCATCATCAGGATTCCCCCAGCAGATAATAAGGACTCAAAATAATGGCTTCCATCATTATTTTATGAGACCTTGACCATTCATTAATTTCTTCATGTTCTTTTATTAATCTTTGTAAAGAGTAAAATCAATTAATGTTGAGATTATAATTAATATTCTCAAAACATAAACAAACAGATTATATTGGTTAGTATATATATGTTGGGAGGAAATTCCAACTCTTTGGAAAAGTTAAGTGTAACCTTTTTTTTTTTGTTAAATTATTATTATTATTGGGACAATGTAATTTGAATTTTTTGGATTCCATTTCGCCCCATGAATTAAATTTAGTAGACGTTTGATCATAAAATTTAAATATTTTTTATCTTGTTTAAAATTTATAAAGTTGAAGTTGATGGTAGAGGTTTATTTGATTATAATTTTTGCAAAGGAGAGATAGAAGATAACACTTTATTTTTTGAAAAAAATGATTAAAAAAAATTCATAAATTATGTTAAATTAAACAAAAATATCATCCGTTTATTTTTTTTTATCAAAAGGTATCTTTGCCATTAGTATTTTGGTCCAAACTATATCTGTTGTTACTTTTAGGTTAAAAAAATGCTCATTTTTGATAAACATATCATCTATTCTCTTCTAAACACATTCTTTTCATAAAATGTCGTAATTCATCATTAATTTTTATGTATATATGACCATAGTTATTTATCATTAATTAATTTTCGTGTAGACAAGGATGAAGTTTATCTCTTAATAAAATAGGAAATATTTTGATTTCTTAATATTTTTCAAATTGAAGAATAATAACTATTTGTCAATATAATCCTTGACTTTAAAGTTAAAGATACGATTATCATAATGTCACAAAATTTTTAAAAAATTGTTACATTGCTTCAAAGTTCAAGTCACAAAATATGTTATTGTTGAACCTTTTTCGTATTTACTTTAAATTTGAGGAATTTATTAGAATTATTTATCCTACAATTTGGAAAAGATTAAAAATAAAAATAAATATTTTATAAGAATTTATTTATCATTAATAAAAATCAATGATGAGAGTGCTATGATTTTATTGTATTCATAAAAGGATATTGAAAAGAAAAAAGTTTATTTTCCACTTTAATTAGAAAATAATGTGTTTAAAAGAAAATATAGTAGAAATATTTTTAGATCTAAATATTAATGATATGCACATTTTGAACCGATGTATTAACAGCGAAACATTTTAAATAAACTATTAACAAGAACATTTTTTATCAAATTACAAATATTTAAAAAATGTTTTCATCATTTCCTATTTATTTAATTTTATAAGTACTCTTCCATTCACTTCTAATTCACATTCTGGACTTTTCGAAAGTCAAATTTACCTAACTTTTAAAGTTTAATTAAATTATATAGATTCAATATTTTAAACAAAAAATTTAGATTTAAAAAATATACAAAAAATACTATAAAATGTAATCTTTTGCATATCAATATGATTAAAAAATACATTATAAAATATTAATTAAAATTCTTATTGTTTGACTCTAATTATGACGATTAAGGGGTATTGAGCAGATGAAACAAAGTAGTATACCAAAAGAATCCTTTGGTAAGTACAAAAGATGCACACTAAATTCTCTAACACTTCTAAGAGCCTTTTCAATACTAGCAAGTGATTGATTTATTATAAGAAAAAACCTTAAAATGTAGCAAGTACAACATTAATGAGGAAGGGCAACAACAATAGTGTTTCAAAAATAATAAAAATAAATTATAATTGAAATTTATCAATTTGTCCATACATATCCACATACTTTTATAGCTGCTAAATTTGTGATGGATATATTTGAAAATACAATCTTAATATTGCTTTTGGCATCTGTTAAAAAATTGTAAAAATATATCCTTAAAGTATTTAAAATTTAATAGACATATCAATCGTCAATACGTTAGCTTATATATTACTAGTTGTTGTAAATATGTTCTTAATTTACCTAGAGTCAGCCTTAATTAATGATTTCAATTTTACATAATTTATAAATTATTTGACTCCTTTTATGGCTTATTAATCGCCTAATTAAATTATTTACATATTTGAATTAATAATCGAACGATAAAATACATACATTTAATTTCTAATAGTGTACAATGAAATATCACAGTCATGACTAAAAGCAGTCAGACATGGCTATTATGGTGAGAGGGACTTAACCTAAACCCTAAAGGACAACATAATTAAAAATGTATTTAATTTAATTGTACTACATCTTTCCCCTAATAGTATTTTCCACTCAGAATATTGTACTAGGTAAGAGAAAAAAATATCTTGATGATATGCTTAAAACCCTAAATCATCATTAAGATTAAATTAATTAATTAATGGATCCAGATGTGAAACATTGATTTTCCCAACTTCCAATTTGATGATTATAAAAATAAGGTGCATTTTCATCATCTAGGGCGTCATCATCGATTTTAATATATATACACAAATATTATAATCCTTACTTTTTTGTTTATTTATGTTATATTATAGTCCTATGATTATGAATTGGTTAAACAGTGTTGTCATTTAATAATAATATAATATATATTATAAAATAAGATATGAAAAGGCTTCTACGTTATTCGTTAAGTTTTTAATAAATTCAGAATATATGAGAGTGGTGGGGTGAGAGAATAGAGTCAAAAGAATCACACCTTTATTCCTTTTAATTAATAAATAAAATATTCATAATTAAAAATTAACAACTTAAATTATAATTATTTTATTAATAGTTAGGTAAATAGATTTTTAGCCCTCTTTTCGATGTCTGTTTGAGGATATCTATGTTAATATTTTGAAAAGAAAATGCTCGCTTTTTGTTGAAAAAAATTATTAGCTATAAGAAAAGATTAACACTGATATTAGTAAATATTTTAGTGATTTGCAAAAATTGTTTGATTAATGAATATTGTTAGGTATGCACTAATTCTAGTTGCTTCTATGTTGATTGGTGATTAGGTTGACTTATTTTATTCGTAATGATTTATAAAAAAATTATTGTGGTCCAAATCATTTTACTTCTTCGAATAAGAGATACTTCTTCAACGTTCTATGTATTAAAAAAATATAGTATTTTTTTTAGTGCACAAGATCTCTAAAGGATCAATCAGTTCAATTTATGAATTTATTTATTCAAGAAATTGAATCGCAGGACAACAATTTATGTATATTGAATAAAATTTAACTCTTTTTTAGATTGTGTATAAATAAATATTTAAATTTGTATAAAAGAAAATAAATAGACATACATATTCTACGTAATATAAGACATATAAGACATCATACAGGATATAAAATTATCACATGGGAGAAATATATTTATTTATTAATTTTATACACGTTTAAATATCTAACTATCTAAAATTAAAAAATATAAATATAAATTAATATTAAATTAAAAAATATATTTATATATTATGTCTATATTAAATCCCTTAAACTTATTTCAAATTTGTAAGACATCTAAATTTTGCGGGTGCTTAATGATATTACCCAAACCATTGCGTATGCCAAAATCAGAAAAGGAAAACAAGAAGAACAGTATAATTTTAAGAAGAAAAATAATAAAGATGCAAAATCCCTTGCAAGATTTATGTAAATTTTAAATGAATTTCAAATTTTTAAATATATGAATTTCTATGATAATAATAAACTTAAATTAATATTTAATAATAATAATAATAATAATAATAATAATAATAATAATTAAAGTATACTATTATACATTTATAATATTTAATAAAATAATATTAAATAACTAATTTTTACAAATGTATACACTATAATCTTGATCCATCACTGTTTCTATGTAGGTTCCACGAAATACTGCAAAACTCACAGAGAGGAAGAAAGATTTTTACCTTTTCTTCTTCATTTTTTTATTTACTCACTTTTATAGTCACAACTCACATGTGAAGTAACAAGTTTATCAAGAAAATCAAGTCTCTAATTATAGAGAAAATGACATAATAGCCCTAGTTAAGTAGAAGGTTTAAAATAATTTCTTAACTATACACTTAACGGATTTAATTTTTTGACTATTCAAAAATTTATTAGTTTTAGTCCCTTAATTATACACTTATCGATTTTAGTCCTTTAACTATATACTTACCTATTTTAATCCATTAAGTATTCAAAAACTTACTAGGTTTGGTCTTTGTCCATTTTTTAATACAAAAAACTTAGGTTTATATTATCTGAAATTTTCGTGAATTAAATCTTAACTCATTTTAAAGTTGTTTCTATATCTCCGTTCTTTTTCTTCAAACTACTCTTATGAAAAGAACAATAACGTCAACTATTCAAAATAAAATTTACGAGGAAAGAAGATATAAGTCTTAATTTTATCCAATGGAAAATAAAACTAAGCATATATCTATTGTTACTGAGTTGAATCTGCACTTGAATATGTTAGTCAATGCGGATTTTATTTAATTTACTCAAATTTCTTACGTAAAATAAAATAAATAGAACAATAAAATTTATCTATTTAAAAATAAATACAAATCTACCATTTTATAAGTTCAATTTCTGAAAAATTAAACAAATTCCGTTCAATGAAGTCATTGGAGCATAAACTTTGGATTTAACGGGTAATAATTATTTTAGCATATTCAAGTCATTAGTACCAATATATGCTTCATTTTATCCTCTACTGAAAAAAATTATGACTTATATTTTCTTTCGTATTGAATTTATTTTAAATCGTTGAGGTTAAAGTTCTTCACATAAAGTTAATTTGAAGAAAAAATAGTGGAGAAAGAAACAACATAAAAAGTTGCTAAAAGATTTAATTTCTTGAGGTATGAATTCCGTCAATATAAAACTAAGCTATTTATATTTAAAAAATGGACAAAGACCAAACATGATAAGTTTTTAAGACTTAAAAAACTAAAATCGGTAACTTTATAATTTAAAGGACTAAAACTCGTAAGTATATAGTTGAGAGACCAAGACAAATAATTTTCTAAATGTTAAAGGAATTAAATTCGTTAAATGTATAGCTAAGGGACCATTTTAAACCTACTACTGTAGTTAAGGGACTATTTATGTCATTTTATCCATAAGTATACAACCATTTCACGGGAATAAGAGAAATGCAGGGTGTCGGACAATGGGGATGGAGGTGGGGTGGGTGGGTGGGTGGGTGAGGCTGACTGGGTTTTCGGGGGATGGGGGATAGTAGCAGGGGTGACATGTTATTTTCAAGTACTGAGTTTCAAATTTAAATCTTATTTTTAAAAATGTTTGTTAATTGACCCATTTTTTCT